ATTTAGGTCTGGTATGTCATCTAATTAAAACTTTACAAAGGAAGAAATGTAATTTTCTTTAAAGCATTCCTATAACAATATAATGTGCTTTATATTTTTTCTCTTATCATGAGAGATAAGAAGTAGAAAGAAAAATGATGCAAAACTTCAAAAGACCAGTTTCTATCTGTAAAATTCCCTACAGAACTTCAGTTTGGAATTTCTCCTTGAGACAATCACTTCATTCTGAAAGCTGATTCAGTGTGAAGATCTTTCTTGGATTGTGTTCAACATGACATCATTGAATGAGAAGCAACTTTTAACTTCCTCTTGATTATTACCAACTTATAACTTTTGCTCAGAACGCGTACAAAGAAGAGTATTTTTGTGGAAAGCATCCCCGCACAGCCTATGGCTGTAGGGAACAATTCAGCAGTATCTGAGTTCATCCTCGCAGGGCTCACAGATGATCCAGAACTTCAAGTCATCCTCTTTGGTGTATTCCTAGCCATCTACCTAACTACTGTCTTGGGTAATCTTGGACTGATCATGTTAATCCATATCAGTCCTCAGCTTCACACACCCATGTACTTTTTCCTCAGTCATCTGGCTTTTGTTGATTTCTGTTATACATCCTCAGTCACCCCAAACACAATCATAAATTTTCTGCGTGTCGTGAGAAGTATAACTTTCTATGGGTGTGCAACCCAGGTGTGCTGTTTCATTACATCTGTTGTGTGTGAAATGTGCCTGTTGTCAGTCATGGCATATGATCGGTATGTGGCAATCTGGAACCCTCTGCTCTATGCCACCCTCATGCCTAGGAAGCTCTGTCTCCAGATGATCACCAGCACATATGTCTATGGATTCTTTGTGGGCATTGCACAGACAGTGGAAACATTTCAGTTGTCTTTCTGTGGCTCCAATGTGGTCAACCACTTCTACTGTGATGATGTGCCCCTAGTGGCTCTGGCCTGTTCTGACACTCATGTCAAAGAGCTGATGGTGTTAGTCATCGCTGGCTTCACCACCTTTTGCTCTCTGGTGATCATGGTCATTTCCTATGTCTTCATCCTCTTTGCCATCTTGAGGATTAATTCCGCTGAAGGAAGACGGAAAGCCTTTTCTACCTGTGCATCTCACCTGACCTCCATAACAATATTTTATGGGACAATCATTTTTATGTACCTGCAGCCCAAATCTAGCCATTCCCTGAACAAAGATAAAATTGTTTCTGTGTTTTATGTGGTAGTGATTCCCATGTTAAACCCACTGATCTATAGCTTTAGAAATCAGGAAGTAAAAAATTCACTGAAGAGAATTACTGAAAAGTTGTCTTTGGCCATCAAATGATATAATTACTAATCACTGGGCAGATGCCATAGGACTTTAAATTGTGTTTAATTCAGACTGACAGTGCTGGTAACTGACAGAGCTTCATGTATATCCTTTATTTTGAACTCTCTGACTCCTTGGAAACTGGTGTGTGTGTGTGTGTGTGTGTGTGTGTGTGTGTGTGTGTGTG